TATATGCTAAGCAATGTACTTTCTGTTTCTTTATGTCTTAGCAATTGTCCATAGGAAAGACTTATTAGTGCAAAAAAGAGTACAGAGATCTGGCAGCCTGGTCTTGCCTAGTTGTGGTAATAACCTTGCAGATTTGGGATTCCTTAGGTCAATAGAAAACTGTCATGTTGTTGCACTGATGCACTTTACCTTGTGGATGCAAACTGATCTGCTGCAACCTTCTCCTTCAAAGAGAGCTGGTATATTGCGCATGGTCTTGTTCATGTGAGGAAAAGGGTTTCATGGTGGTTCTCACTGCAGTCATACAGGGTGAAAATGCAATAAGGAACTACATGGGAAGAAGAAAAGGAAACATATCAAAGTCCAGCACCTTTTGGATCCTTGCATCCAGAGGGAGCCCCACTGATTTTTTGTTTTGTTTTTGTTTTTGGAATTCTGCACGTGCACTAGGAACACCGCTAGTGAATTCCAATGCATGGATTGGGGAGGGAAGGAGGATGGGACAATAGCAGACAGTGTATCTTGTTTATGCTGGCAGAAAGCATTGTTTTACTTAACCTTTTACCATATGAAGGTATTATCTCCTACAGTATATTGGTATTATCGCCTCTCAGTATGGCACACACATAAATATATAAATAATATTGCACTTTTGCTGTGGACATGGTTGTTTATTGAAATAGAAGTAAGAAACACCACTAAAAAAGCCTTCTCTCTCTCTCTCTCTTTCTCTCTGAAATTCAGGACATATACAGTATGCTATTTTATTTTGATTATAAGATAGTGTGTGGTAATTATGCATTATATCCTATGCTGTGGTATATATAGTATATGTAGGCAGATTGGAAGTCACCTCTCCTTACTGAATAACACAAGGAGTTTCCACAATTTGAATAAACTCACAGTAGAAGGAACCATGCCAGACAAAACAGTTCCAAATATTCAAATATATCAAAATGTATTAGCTTTTTATATACAAAATATTCATGACTGTTGCTTATCCTTTTTGTGGGCAGTTTTAAACAGGAATTTTGTCTTTTCTAAAGAAGGGGCCCAGAAATCTATTTTGTGTATTTCAATCTGTCATCGGAGTGATAAGTTCTTTACAGTTAACTCACTATTTAGCTAGTTGGTGGTGGGAGGGTAATACTGCATTCATTGTGTTCACTCATTCATGTGTGATACAGCATTTGCTCCGTTTTCATCTTTTTCTTCACAGCAAGCCATTGACAGTGAGGTGAGAGCAGAGGCAGTTCCTTCAGTCACAGTAAAGGTATTGTGCTTAGCTCAAACTGTAGCACTTAAAACAGTAGCAACAAATTTCAGCAAACCTTTCACATTTGTTATCCCTTTTACTTATGTCATGGAAATGAGAATAGAGCTTGAAATGCCATATATATTTACAATTTTATCTCCTTTTTTGGTGTGGGATGGGAACTTTTTTATAACTTCCTGCCAAAATTGTAGAGTGATTAGCAAGTTTCATATATCTTCTGTTTTAATTTGTTTTTAAGGAAAAGTCAGATAAAAGATATGTAAAGACTATGGAGTGGAAAGAAGTAGTCTTTGAAGTTTTTCATAGTGGGTGCTTGACAGCATACTCTGTAGTTAAGGATCTAAAACTCTTTCTGTTGGAACCCTGTTTTTGTTTGCTCAGAACTTTTTAGAAATATTCACCTTTGCACAGAGAAAACATTTCAGTTCAATAGGTGAATATTTTTTAGAAAGTCTGAGCAAAATCTCTTCTACTGTCTTTTTAGTTATGAAAGAGTGAAAATAAATAAATTCGTCCTATTTGTAAAATCTTTTTATTCATGCATTTACTTATAGCTACAACAAAAACTGTTTTAATTTGAAACAACATGGTCATAGTCCTCAGTGAAGATTAATGTTTGTGCTTAGTTTTGAAGAAAAGATTTGTGTGCACGCGCGCATGTGTGCACAGTTATATCATATAAAAATACATTTCTTCTGAGCATTAAATCAAATTGATAGTAATATAACTTCTGAACATGCCACATTAATTGCTAAGATTATTAGCAGAGGAAAATGAAGGCCTTGCTTTTTCGTATCTCTGCCCATTCTTTCTCTCTCCAGACTGAGAAGCACAGTGACTGATGAGAACAAATCATAGGCTGGATTCTGATATCTTACTCTGATTAAGTAGCACCTTACGCCATGAGTAGATGACTTTTGTAGAGTAAGGTACTATCAGGAAGGGTTATCAGGATCCGATTCTACATAAGGGAGATTTTAAACATATCATTCAAAACACAGGCAATAAAATTTGCAACAGAACTGTCTTAACATCAGAGGAGAAAATCATGGATGATGAAAAAAACCATCGTTGCCACAAATTTTATGGTCTCAGTAATGTCTTCTGGAATAATCTGTAACTTCTAAACTTTCACGTAAATAAATTTTCTCCTCCATTGGGGACTTTGCCATTGACTTCAGCGTGGCCAAGATTTCACCCACAGTCGTTGCAATGTAAACTGTTAGAAAATTATCTCCAGCCAAGCACCAGTATTAGTGGTAGAACTGGCCCCTCTCCACTTCTAGTAATGTAAACTGAAGTGTGCACATCAAAGTCTAATTTGGTGCTATTGAAATTCTCACATTGTTAACCACAAGCAATTCCTCTATATTTTTTTTAAATAAGCAAACTGTCCCACCCCACAAAAGTACATGAAAAAAGTTGTTGTTGCAATATTTGTCTCCACTACAAATAATAAACAGTTGTTGCTGGCAACTGGTGCAACTAAAATAGCAGTGAATAGTTTGGCTGCTGGTGTAGACAAGGACAAACTTTTTGGGGAAGGGTAGAGGAGGACTGTTGTTTTGTTTTTGGGAGTGCAGATAACTTTTCTTGCTCCTCTTCATCTAATCAGAACATCCATGCACATAATATAACTTAATATGGGCAAAAAACAGGGCAAAAGCCAAACACTGTTGGAAATCAGTACAGATTTACAGATATATTTATAGACTACTTGGTGGGTAGATTTATAAATTTCATTTAAGCTTTATTTGATGCTGTAAATCAATCTAAATTACACAAGATATTGCAATAAAAATTCCCAGTAGTAAATTTAGATCAGGGTCGGCAACCTTTCAGAAGTGGTGTGCCGAGTCTTCATTTATTCACTCCAATTTAAGGTTGTGCGTGCCAGTAATACATTTTAATGTTTTTAGAAGGTCTCTTTCTATAAGTCGATAATATAGAACTAAACTATAGTTGTATGTAAAGTAAATAAGGTTTTTAAAATGTTTAAGAAGCTTCATTTAAAATTAAATTAAAATGCAGAGCCCCTCGGACCGGTGGCCAGGACCCAGGCAGTTCGAGTGCCACTGAAATCAGCTTGCGTGCCGCCTTCGGCACGCGTGCCATAGGTTGCCTACCCCTGATTTAGATCAATTAGAATGCATTATATTTTCTTACAGGACAATTAATAGTTACTACCAATCATATAAACACACTGATGTCCCTACATCCAACTTTATTGATTTTTAAGTAGAAGCTCTTCATTCAAAATAATTAAATATAGTTGATGGAAAAGCCCTTCTTAATTAATGAAATTTCATATTTTTATGATTTACAAAGTTATCAACCTTGGCTCTTACTGCTAAAATAAAAACTATTCACACATTACATTTGTACACTACAAAATATGTCAGATTAATTCAAACAAGCTGACCTCCTGATTGTGTCTGATAAGTTTATGCACAATTTTTCAAAATTAGATCTCTCCTTGGGTTCTGTTACAACAATTACCAATATGTATAACCTGGCATGTTTTCTGCAGTGTGAATAGGCTAATAGTTAATGGATTTTAATCCTTCCAAGTAAGTGAAGTTGTGGCTGTTTTGATTGTGATTATGATACATGAAAATCTGTGTAGGAAACACAAACACACAAGTTTGTGGACTTTTTTTTCTACTAGAGTTCTAAATAAGGATTGTATTTAATTCTGCAAAAAGCAACTGGCCCAGCAGAAAAGGCTTATAAAATTAGATGCTTATAAAAACAGGTAGTGGGCAAAATCCTCACCCTTGCTCCAGGCCCCTTTATGTCATCAAAAAGACCAGAGAAGCATAAAAGGAGCCCTAAAGACTCCAGCTGGGAAAAGATTCCCAAGGTGCAGCCTGACAGACTGACAATATCCTGTAGTGTCCTGGACAAACCTTATGGAATTAAGATAAACTTTACTGAATTAAGTTAGATCTTATTGAATTAGGGTTAATACCTCTTTGGTCCATTGCATTAAAAATGCTGCTGTGTTTGTGTTACTATGGAAATGTATCTCTCTTTTCTAGAAGGAGGGGAATGCTAATGTACTTCCACCATTATCAGCCCTTTGAAGCCACCCAACTGGAGAGGTGTATATATACTAGTTCAAACTGGATTCTCCAGGGACCAACAGACAAAGAAAGGATTTTTGGATAAATACCTAGTTTTAAACTGACTTAGGGCCTTCTTCCTTATCCAGCAAATGGACAGGACCGCTGATGCACAGAGAGACCTAATTAGGGTGACCAGATGTCCCGATTTTATAGGGACAGTCCTGATTTTTGGGTCTTTTTCTTATATAAACTCCTATTACCCCCCCCACCCACCCCAGTCCGATTTTTCACACTTGCTGTCTGGTCACCCTAGACCCAATCCTTAGCATAGGGTTGGAAGGACTGGGCCTTCTGAGGCCCTATGAAACTGGGTGCTTGTTCTGAGCTGAAGCTGTGATGAACTTGTAACCACAGGAATCCCATGGGGTGGGGATTTGAAGGACTGCTCCAGTCAGAATCTGTTAGGATTGGGGTGAACTTTGGTAAGCTTATTAGCATGCAGGTAGGTTCTTTTATTGTTTTTAATATGTTTTCTCTGCAGTCCTTTTTTACCTTAAGAATAAAATAGGCTTGTATAGAAAGAACTGTGTGGTATTTATAACAATTGACAATCACGCTGCTATCAGTCTCTGATGAGAAAGCAAGCAGGTGTGCTTGGGCTGCTTGGCTCTCTGCTGGGAATAAAGCATTAGTGGCAGGTAACTGCAGGTTGGAAGTACCCTGGTCAGAAGGGAGTGAGATGTGGGTCTTCACACAAGAAAGAAAATGGCTGGGAAGCTGGAAGTCTTAGAGTGGATGCCCTTGCTGGACCATTGAGGGGGAATACAGGTGCTATTGCCCTGATGTGTGACACAGGTACTGTGGGAAGTGGCTGCTTCCACAAGAACTCTTTGCAATATGTGGTGGAGGGGTGGCTGGACTTGAGGTGGGCCGGACATGTCACATGCAAGGTAACATCATATAGTGCTTCAGGGATTCTTGTCAGAGTTGCAGCCCATTGGATAGCCCTCAGAGGTTGCTGTAATTTAGTCAGATATGTCTAAATTTACGCCAGAGCCCTCTCCAGCCCCCGTAGCTTCCCTGGATCAGGAAAGCGCAAAGGTGGTTTAAAATATCTTAGTCCACATTCACCTCCCCTGGGGTTGTGAATTCTGGCTTCACCTTATCAGCACAGTAGACAGCGCTGGCTCTGGCTTTTTT